GAGTTTTGCAGCCGTCATAGTCTGCCTTTCTGAGCCTGTGTTTTCTCATTGATAAGCCTTGTGTGATTATGGTTCTGCTCTCACAGCGTGGTTGTGAGAAGTAATTAAAAATAAGCGTGTAGAGGGCTTGGCACGGTGTCTGACCAATAGGAAGCCGTCAGCTAGCAGGAGCAGTTTGGGGGTCACACAGTGACTCGGGGGTGAAGCTGATGTTGGCATGAGACCCACGTCCCCAGCAGGGCCATCCTGGCTCCCCCTGCCCTGTGGCTGTTTCTACAGTGATTTCAGGAAGGTGGCAGGGGCGGGGTGAGGCGGCGAAAGTAATAATTGCAGTTGTTCGAAAAGCCGTGAGCTGGCTAATCACTGAATCAGCCGCAACCAAGCCTAGCAGCTAAGCCAGTAATTCTCAAAGTGTGGTTCTGGGGGGAGCAGCGCCAGTATCACCAGGGAACTTTACAGACATCCAAATTCTCAGGTCCCACCTCATACTTACATTCTAGTGAGGCCCAGAAGTCAGTATCTGAACAAGTCCTCTGGGTGATTCTGACACCAGCTGTAGGTGGAGAACCACGGATCTAAGCAAACTGTCTACCTGTTCAGTCCCTAATCTCCTTACTGCCTTCCCGAATGAGCGGGGTAGTCACAGTGTGGGGGTGCAGCCCAGCCGGGGAGAGTCAGCCAGGCAGCACCCACGTGTCCCAGCTCGGCTTCCTGGGTCGGGCAAGGGAGAGCACGGGCCCCAAAATTGCAGCCAGACATGATGGGCAAAGATGTCCAGAAAGCGCATGTCAGTCTGACATCTCTATTGGGGCAATTATAGAGAGGCCAAGCCAGCCAGCTCCTGTGTACTATCTATAATTGTAGCGACAGAGAAATTGAGGCCCCAGAGGGGGCTAGAGACAATCCTTCCTCCTTGTTTGTCGCATGAATGAAGCCATACGCTGGTTCTGACAGACACAGCAACACTTTGGCTTCCGGCTCTTTCTGTCTCCTCTCTGCCTAAGCTCCAGCCATTGAGCTCCCTTCCACTGTCCCAAGAGTGGGGTCTGTGTGAGGACCCCTCAGGAAGACCAAGGTAAGCTGAGAGATCATACTGATTCACTGTGTGATGTGGAGCAAGTCTGTCCCTCCCTGGGCCCCATTTCTTCATCTGGAAGATAGGGATAATTATTCAAGTGCCTGGGACACAAGATGTTCTCTGTCAGATTCAGTGTATCTGCTCCACTGTACTGAGCACCTAGGGTGGTGAAACTCCCATCCAGTGTGTGAACGCAGGGGAGGTGAAGCTCAGGGGCTTTTGAAACAGCGTCCACCACATGGAGCTGGTCAAGGTCAGAGACCTGCCTTCTCTTCCCTTCTCGGAAGGATGCTGGGGTGTCCAACAGGTCAGGGAGGGATGTGCTTTAGAGCTTTGGGGGCCTTCTCAGCGGATACAAACTGGGGGCTTTGGTGACATGGTGTTTTAATGTTTGTTTCACGTGAATTTCTGTTCTTCATTTACTCAGTCTATGAAAAAATAAGTAAAGCAGAGCAAAGAAAGAGAGAGTGGGGATGGGGCCATTGTTTTGGAGAGGGGGTGGTTGGGGAAGGCCTCTCCAACGAAGCGATGTTGGAAGAGAGACCTGGATGAGTAAGGGAGCAATAAATAGGCAGAGGAAGCAGCAAAGCCAGTGCAAAGCCTGGAGGTGGAAATCAGTTTGGTGTTCCAGGAATGGCATGGAGGTCAGGATGGCTGGAGCGCAGTGATGGAGGTGGGGTGGGGGAGAGGATCAAGTTTGCGAGGTGGGGTGGGGGCCAGAGCTCACAGGGCCTTCTTGCACACACACAGTTTAGCTTCCGCTCTCCAAATGGGACGGGAAGTCAGGGGAGAGTTCTTAGGAGAGTGATGATTTCCAGCTTTGCGTTGTGGGAAGATCACCCCGGCTGCTATGAAGAGAGTGGGTCACAGTTGGGCCAGAGTGGAGGCGGGGAGGCCAGTCGGAGGTGAGATGGTGGCGGCTTAGTCAGGGTGGGGAGCTGTGGTCTGTCCAGGGATTTACTCTGAAGGTAGAGCCAACAGGAATTGCTAAAGGACAGGAGGTGGAGAGTGAGCGAAAGGAAAAATCAAAGGCCCTCTTAGATACTTGGCCTGAGCCCCTGGCTGGCAGGTGGTGCCATTAATGGAGATGGGGAGACAGGAGGGGAACAAGATTTGAGGGCAAGTCGAGTTTGGTTTTGAACATGTTCGGTGTGAGAGGCCACCAGACATCTGAGAAAGAGATGCTGAGCAGACAGTTGGACACGTGAGCTGGACTCCGGTGGGGAGAGGCCACCACACCCTGACACCTGCGAAATGGCAAAGGCTATTGCGGTAAAGGGGTGGGGACAGGAGTAAAGGTGGCTCTATCTCTGTATATTTAAGGAAGTGCATTTTCAAAGTCCTCTTAGTTTGTTATTACCCGTTTATTTATTTTTAAAGATTTTATTTCTCTGAGAGAGAGTGCGTGTGGGGGGGAGGGGCAGAGGGAGAGGGAGAGAATCTCAAGCAGACTCCATGCCCAGCTCGGAGCCCCTTTGGGGTCCATCACAGGACCCTAAGGTTATGACCTGAGCCAAAAGCAAGAGTGGGGCGCTCAACCGACTGAGCCACCCAGGTGCCCCTACCCCAGTTTATCCTAAAAAATGAAAGGGAGTGCAGATAAGCAAAAAAGCAAAACAAAAGCCAAATCACTCTTAAAGCCCTGCTGACCCTTAGTACGAATATAAAAAAGTATATTTGAGGGGCGCCTGGGTGGCTCAGCCGGTTAAGCGTCTGCCTTCAGCTCAGGTCATGATCCAAGGGTCCTGGGATCGAGTCCCGCTTCGGGCTCCCTGCTCAGCGGGGAACCTGCTTCTCCCTCTGCCTGCCGCTCTCTCTCTCTGATAAATAAAATCTTTAAAAAATAAAAATATCTATATTTTAAAAATTAGGATCACATTGCCCTTCAGATTTGATAATCTGCTTTTTTCATTTAACCCATTGTGATGTGTCCATTTTATAGATGTGTAACTATTGACATAGAAAGAACAGTGTTGAGAAAAATGAATTTCTGGAAGCCCCAGCAGGAAGCCCTTAGTGTGGCCCACTTACCTGAGGATCTGAGGTCAGCTGAGCAGTGGGACGGAAGGATTTCTGTTCAGGGCTGGGGTGAAGGCCCATCAAGATTTGGCTGCAGCCCTTCCCAGGGGAGGGGGCTGGAAGAGACGACCTCAGCGGAGGTCCTCGGTCCCTGAGCCCTGGGGATCAGTGGCAGTCCCCCTCCCTGGGGGATGTGGCTGTTGCGGTTTTCTGTGGTTAATTATTGAGCACGAGGAGCTGGTGCCCTCCCGCCTCCTCTCCCTGGGCCTTCTGTCTTTGCTGACCCAGCTCTTGCCTAGAACTGGCCAAGGAGACCTCCTCCTCGCTCATTCATTCAAAACCCTTTACCGGCACCTGCCACCTACTTCCTCTACCCAGGGGCATGTGCTGGCTTGCAGTGCTAAGGCTGCCCTCCCAGCAGGCTGGGAGCCCCTGTCCAAGGAGGGGTGTAAGTCCTTTCCCTGTCTGTCCTCCCATCAACTCCCACCGGACAGATGTGAGACTGGCTCAGACAGGGTAGGTCACTGTACAAGCTGGACCAGGATTTGAACCCAAGTCTCTCTGACCCTGAGCCCATGCCCCTGCCACTGTGAAACAGGGACACAAATAAAGCCATGTGGGAAGTGCCACATACACACAGGCAAGTGCTGGGAAGGGGCATTCTGCAGAGGGAACAGGGGGGCGGAGGGCATGGCCACGGCCCCCCAGAGCAGAGGGTGAGCAGAGTCCCAGCAGGCCCCGAAGGTGGGGTGCTTCAGGCAGAATGCAGTCCCAGGTGGGGAGACTCTGGGAACATCTGGGGAAGGCTGTGGGTCAGTTCACAAGAGATGTGTTTCCAGAGAAGCCCATTCCCTCTGGAGTCTCTTCCAAAGGGCACATGCGTGTCCAGCACACCCTCCTCCCAAAGAGGAGCGATTCCGGGAGTCCGACTCGGTTGCTTTCCCCCATCTGCAGCCTGCGCCCCTCAGCCTGGCCTGCTCGCCTAGTCACACGCTGTCCAAGGCCCCAAGGCCGCCAGCCTCTCTCCTCATGCCCTTCACCCCACTTCCCATCCCCTGGGAAGTGGGGAACCCACGCTCTAATCTCACCTCTGTGCTGGACATATTGAGTGACCTTGGGTGGAGTCCCTTTCCCTGTCTGGGCCTCAGTTTCCTCACGTGTGCAACGGGGGTTGAGGGAACTGTTGGATGAGCTGGGTTATAAAGTTCTTTCCATTTCAAAACATCCCTTTCTGGGTTTCCCACTGCCCTCAGGGGAGTCGCAGGCCTTGAGGCCCGCTCCCCCTCCTCATACCCCATCCCCTCTGCATCCTTCCCTTCTTCCTGTCCTCCCTAGTGTCCTTTCCTTTCATAGTTGCCTCATTCTAATTCCTTAAGAGCCCATGAAGGCCGAGGCAATTGTCCCCATTCTGCAAATGAAGCGATACTCCTGCCACCTTGGCGTTCATAGGGAGCAGGGACCCCTCTGTCGGCTGCTGACCTTCCCTGGCCCCTCAGCTGGCCTCTGGGCTACTTTTCTTAAGACGGTCTTAAAACTGAGCCAGGGCCTGAGGGCACCGCCGGTGAGTGGCTGAGCCCGCAGGTGCTTCCTGACAGTGGGACCTTGAGCCCGTCTGTTTCCACCGCCAGCCCAGACAGACCTGTCACCCACAGCCGAGTGGCACCTTCTCTGAGCAGCAGTCTGCAGCGAGGGCAGCTGTGAGCTCCGTAGCCCAGAGCGTGGGGGTTTCTCCCTCTGGTGTCCCGCTCAGAACCACAACTCCAGGGGACTCTGATTCTGATTCTGCTTTCCAGATAGTTCTTCCCAAATCATGCTTCCCTCCTCCTGCAACTCCGCAGCCCGCCCCCCCCCCCCCCAGTCCTGTCGGTGCAGCAGTCTAACCCTCTCCCTGCTGCTGTTGCAGATTTTTGCTGGTCTTCAGCTGCCTGGTGCTGTCCGTGCTGTCCACTATTCAGGAGCACCAGGAACTTGCCAACGAATGTCTCCTCATCTTGGTGAGTGCCAGAGGCCAGGTCTGAGCCAGGCTGTGTAAGGCAGCCCCTTGGGGCTCAGGGTAGGGGGTGGTGAGAGAGAGTTTTCTCATTCTGTGGCTCAGAGAGCGGCTTGCCCTGCTGTGCTGTGTTCCCTGAGTTGATGGCTGCCCCTCTCTGGATTTCCTGTCCTGCCTTCTAGCCGATGTTGGGGGGCTAGGGACCTCCTGCCTAAGCGAGGGCTGATGTTGGGCCCAGAGAAGAGGTGAATAAGCCCCACTCCTTCTCAGGACCCAAGCTGCTAACTCAACCCGTGGTGTGATTTTTTTTTTCCCCTCTAAACAGAAGCACCTTGAAGTGGACAGCTGACAGAGAGCCACCCCTTCTGTCACCCAGTCAGGGTTACTGAGTCTGGGAGAGCTGGGAGGGGGAGGGCGGGGTGGAGAGCTGACGACCCCACACAGCCGGTGGACAGGACGTGCAAGACAGACTTGGGCTTTCAGTCTGAGGAAGGGGCCACGTGCCTTCTGGAATCCCCCTCAGGTCCAGCCAGGTGTAGGAACGTCCAAGAGAGGTGGTCTGAGGAAATCCTGGTACCCCTAACCCAAGGGCGCTGCACTGGGCCAGTACTGTGTGACCTGGGCCCTTGCTCCTGGAGACAGGGGACCAGAACTCAGGGCCCTGGTCCCACAGGAATTCGTGATGATCGTGGTGTTTGGCCTGGAGTACATCATCCGCGTCTGGTCCGCTGGATGCTGCTGCCGCTACCGAGGATGGCAGGGCCGCTTCCGCTTTGCCAGAAAACCCTTCTGTGTCATCGGTGATAAGACCAGCCCACCCGCGCCTGACCCCTGACCCCGAGCCCCAGGGTGGACACCCTGACCCAGACCCTGGCTGCTGACAGAGATTCCACCGACCCTCCCTATTCCGCCCTACCCCCGCCCCGACGGCCCCAGCACCCCCCCGCCCCCACTTCGGAGCCTGGCGGGGTGGCTTGGCTCCCCGGCGCTGCTGTGACCTCGTCTCCTCCGGCCCTGCAGACTTCATCGTGTTCGTGGCCTCGGTGGCTGTCATCGCTGCGGGCACGCAGGGCAACATCTTCGCCACGTCTGCGCTGCGCAGCATGCGCTTCCTGCAGATCCTGCGCATGGTGCGCATGGACCGCCGCGGCGGCACCTGGAAGCTGCTGGGCTCGGTGGTCTACGCGCACAGCAAGGTGCGCCGGCGGGGGCCGGGTCTGGGGGCAGGTGTAGGCCAGGAGGCGGGGCCTGAGGGGCCCACTTGGAAACTTCTGGGTTTGGGGGTCTATGCGCACAGCGAAGTGGGGAGCTGGGGCAGGGTGTGGGGGGGGCGGGACTAGATGTTGGGGTGTGTGGGGCGGCTCGGGACTGAGGTCCGAATGTGGAACCTGGAAGGTCAAGGGAGGGGCCGGGGGCGTGCCCTGAGTTCTTGTGAGGGCCTCACCCCTTCGGGAAGGCGGGAAGACGGGGGGGCGGGGGGGAGGGGGGACGGCGGGGGAGGGGCTCCTTGAAGGGAGGAGCTGGGGAAGGAAAGCTGGCAGAGCCGCTGTCAGGCAACTCCGAGAGGAGAGGAGGGGAATTTTTTCCCCCCCTCCAGAATACCTCTCTCAAGTCATTGTGGGCACCTCCCACCTGTCCACCTCTGGCAGGTGGGCACAGCGTGACCCACTTGCCCATGCCCCCCCCCCCGCCGTGTCTCACTGTTGCTGCCCTCGCAGGAGCTGATCACCGCCTGGTACATCGGGTTCCTGGTGCTCATCTTCGCCTCCTTCCTGGTCTATCTGGCCGAGAAGGACGCCAACTCCGACTTCTCCTCCTACGCCGACTCGCTCTGGTGGGGGACGGTGCGTCAGGGTCTGTGCAGGGCTGCTCTTCTTCCTGAGACCCTCCCCTGAGTGACCACTGGGACTCTGACTCAGGGTTGAGCGAGCCTGTCCTCTCAGCTAGGGCCGGGGCCCCCTGTGACCAGCCCCTGCGTTAGCCCCCAACCTGCCCCAGGAGATCTGCTTGTGCTCCATCTGGTTCCCCACACCAAACCCCTGCCACCTCACCCCTGGCCAGCACAGGGCAGGGAAGGGGAGCCATCCATCTATGCCCCTAACCAGCCCCTGTGGACGACCATAGGGCACCCCCCTCGTGATCAGGCTCCCACCTGCCTGTGCCCCAACAAGCTCTTGTGGGTGGCTCCTGAGGGTAAACTCTTTGTGTCCCCAGATCACTCTGACGACCATTGGCTATGGTGACAAGACACCCCACACATGGCTGGGCAGGGTCCTGGCTGCTGGCTTCGCCTTACTAGGCATCTCCTTCTTTGCCTTGCCTGCCGTGAGTCCCCCTGCACTTAGGATCTCCCGGCTGCCCAGGGGAGAGGGCCCTGGGGGCAGAGCCTGCTTAGCCCCTCTCCTGAATTTGCATGGATGGGGGAGTGGAGAGCTCAGAGGAGTGGGTGGAGACCTTCTCTTCCTCCTGTTGTCCCCCTCCGCCCCTTTCTCCCAACCACACCTCCTCCCCTAGGGCATCCTTGGCTCTGGCTTTGCCCTGAAGGTGCAGGAGCAGCACCGTCAGAAGCACTTCGAGAAGAGGAGGATGCCTGCAGCGAACCTCATCCAGGTACAAGACGCCCAGGAAGCCCCTGAAAGGAACTGGTGTGTCAACTTCTCTATGCTGACCCAGGTGTCCCAATTTTGCAACTGTGACTTCCACTTTGAAGCTCTGGGAGCAGATGTGGCTTCTCCGGGGTCACATGCCAAGTCAGGGCTAGAGGAGGGGGACTGTCAGAAACTTCCCTTGTGCCACATGCCCAGTTCAGGCCTTATCAGAGCTGCCCCACAGTCCCACTCCAGCCCCAGCTCTATGTGACTGGCAGTGGAGTGGGGCCTAGGGCTTCTTGTCCTGCCACCAAAAGGCTGTGCAGTCATCAGTAAGCCTGCACTGCTCCCAACACCAGTTCATTCCCCAAGCACTCCCACAAGTGAATGTTGTAACTATAAACTGAGACAAATACCTTGAAAGAAAGAATAGTTCTCTGAAGAGTATTTAACAGGGTCCTGGCCTGATCTGACCTTGAAGGGGAACTCTGGGATGATGACCCTGGGAAATTGATGCTTGAATTGAGAGCTGGAGGACTGGTAGGAGTCAAATAGGTGAAGAGGTGAAGCGGGGGGGGGGGGGCAAGCGTTCAAAGTAAGGGAACAGCATGTGCAAAGGCCCTGTGGTGGAAGGGAGCATGGTGTGTTTGGTGAACTGGAAGGCAGCTAGCAAGGCTGGGACAGAAAGCTCAAGGAGGAGTATATAGTGGAAGGGGTTGGGTAAGTGGGCAAGGCCCCGACCTGAGGGCCACAGAGAGGAGTTTAACACTTTGCTGAGAGCAATGAAGAATCCCTGACAGGTATGAAATAGGAGGAATGGGTGTTATGATCAGATTTGTGTTTTGAAAATAGGTGAATGGATTGGAGAGTGCCCCAGGTGTGTGTGGGAGATGACACGAGGCTCTGACAACTGTCTGGGCAAGGTAGGGTGCTGGAATGGTATCACAACAGTTGAGGTGGGAAGAAGCAGATTCTGTATATTTAGGAGGTGAGATTCGTGGCATTAGGAGTGAGGGAGAGGGCGAGGGAGCTGCGTGGCAGGTGACTTCCAGGTTTCTGGCTTGCCCAACTGGATGATTGATGGCCCTCCCCACTGGAGGGGGACCAGATTGGGACAGGAGGAATGTGAGATTGGCAGGAACACGTAGAGCATGAGGGGCCTCAGCCCCCGAGCGAGGTAGCTGCACGTCCGGGTCTGCAGCTAGGGGGAGAGGACTGTGCTAGAGCCATTGCACCTAGACAGTAATGAAGCCCGGGGCACGGATGAGCTCGCCTGGGGCACGGATGAGCTTGCCCAGTGTGGACAGCAAAGTTGGAGGAGAGAAAATGGTCCAGAACGCAGCTTTTAGGAACCTCAGCATTCAGTGACTGGGCCAGCAGAGTTGAGCCAGTCAAGGAGACAGAGAAGGAGCAACCAGAGGGGTGGGAAAAAATCAGAAAACCAGGAGTGTGTGATCTGTTTCCGCCACTGCGCTGAGACATTCTGATAGGGCATGGGGTGGGGGGAGGCAAGGGCTCTGATTTTGGGGGGACTTTGTGACTCAGCCCTGGCTTCTCTCTAGTCGGTGTATGCGAGAGCAGCCCCTGCGGGAAGTAGTTCAGGGAATACTGGCGCATCCCACCTTGGCCTGCTCCCAGCATGCCACCCTCGCACTCCCGATCCAAGTCTGACTCAGCGCCCCCCCTTACCTCTCCTCCCCAGGGTGGAACCCCCTCCCCATCCCTGCTATTTCCAGCCGCCAGCCCAACCTTTCCTTCTCAGCGTCCTGTGGGGCACAATGGCTGTCGTCCCCTGGGAGCTGGCCTTCCAAGGGGCACCGCAGGGGCAGGTGGCTGGCACTGTCCATGCCAAGAGACAGCTGGTATTGTGGTGCCCATAATTAATGAGACAGCTCATTGAGCTGCTCCCCAGCTCAAGCCAGGGGCCTAGGCAAGCGGGAAGTAAAAATATTCCTGTCCTAGGAGGGTGCCTGGCCAGTGAGGTCAGCCGTGGGCAGTGCCTTAAGGACAAGAGGCACCCAAAGAAGGGGGCTCCAGGGCTCAGTTAGGCTTTGTCCATGCCTCCCTGCCCTCCCTAATCACCGCACTCACAGTCCCTCCTTGGCTCTTCTTACCTGGAGGGAGAGGGACAGTCCTTCCTCTTGTCCACCCCTCATCCCCCCTGCTGCAGAGGAAATCCTGCAAGTCCCAGGATGCTGAGGGGCTGGTAGGGGGATGCTCTTCCCTTCCCTCCTCAACCCCGTGGGCAGTGACAGGCAGCTGAGAAAGATGAGGTGGATTTATTCGTAGTACTAAGAATTCACTCAGGTTTTTTTTTTAAGATTTTATTTATTTATTTGAGAGAGAGAGAATGAGAGATAGACAGCACGAGAGGGAAGAGGGTCAGAGGGAGAAGCAGACTCCCCGCTGAGCAGGGAGCCCGATGTGGGACTCGATCCTGGGACTCGAGGATCATGACCTGAGCCGAAGGCAGTCGCTTAACCGACTGAGCCACCCAGGCGCCCGAATTCACTCAGTTTTTATTCTCCAGACCTTTGCAGAGCACCTACCAGGTGCCAAAGGATACAGTGATGACCAAGACACCGCTTAGAGTCTAGGGGGAGAGAAAGACAGCATCCCTCAAATACACGACGAACAGATACTTACTAGCTGGGGTAACGGGATGACAGGAGGGTTGAAGAGGGGACCCTGGTATTAAGTGCCTTCTCTGTGCCAGGCACTGTGCTTGGCATTTAACAGACATTTGCCCTTTTAATCCTCACATCAGGCTCTTAGGTAAGCAGTATTGTATCCAGTTCACAGATGAGGCAGGCGGGGCTCTGCAGCTTTACTTCATTTGCCCGGGCTACTAAAGGGCAAAGCTGGGACTGGAAGCCACGTCTGCCTGATGACAGAGCCCAGCTCTACCTTGGACCCCTGCTCCCCGCCTTGGGGAAGTCCTTTCTCTCTGGGCCTCCGTTTCTGTCTGGCCCTGCCAGTGGCTCCGGAACTGGAACTGGCCTCTGGCTCTGGGTCTCCTTCCGCTGACCCAAGGACTGATTCCTCCAAGGGCAGAGGGGTGGTGAGGGGCGGAGAGGCTTCGCTGATGCCTTGTCCCCTCTTCCCCTTCCCTCACACGACAGGCTGCGTGGCGCCTGTACTCCACCGACACGAGCCGGGCCTACCTGACGGCCACCTGGTACTACTATGACAGTATCCTCCCATCCTTCAGGTAGGCCCTGCTGCAGGGGGACATGGCTGGTGGTGGGGGGGGCGGTGGCTGGTGGTCATGCCCCCTTGAGGACAGGTGGCTGGGACTCGGCCCTGGGGGTGGGAAAGGGGTGACGCCTCCCAAAGGAGTATCTGGGGCTGGCTCTGCAAATTCCATGTAATTCAGAGCCCAGAGTGTCTTCTCTCCCAGTTCGCTCTTCCCTGGGAAGGTGGTGGACGCTGGGCACAGGGGGAGCTGGCACTCCACATGCTAGCCCATAGTGCCGCCATTCAGGGCCGTGGTGCCCCCCCAGCTCGTCTCCCCTCTGTCTGAGTTGAGGGTCGGGTTAGCTTTTGCCAGCCTGGCATACTGCAGCTGGGGAGAGAAAGCGTGGTACGGGCAAGAGCGCGTGCGCCAGAGTCCAGCACCCCAGTGTGTGAATAGGCCCCGACTTTTCCGGGCCCTAGTGCCCAGAAGCGGGTTCATCCCACTGGCCCAGGCCGGGGTAAGGCTGCACCTGGGGTTGGCTGCATGCAGAGGATTATTAATAGCCATCACCAAGGTCTGAGTGGCCAGGTGCCTGGCCAGGCCCTTGGGCAGGAATGAAGAGCACAGAGTGTGGCTCAGTCCCACCGGCAGGCAGGGAATCAAGCGCGAGGCTGGACTCGGCGGCTGTGCTCAGCACTTTTGCGGGTGCCTTTTCCCTCATTAGTTCTCCAAGAGCAGCTGTTGCATGATCCCACTCACCCCTACACCTGGCTCCCCCTCCCTGCTCCCTCCTGGCCCCAGAGGCTTCCTAGGGGAGGAGCAGAAGAGAAGGGGCTGGAAGGGGGGGGTCCCAGAATCACACTGGGTACCCCCCATCTCCACTTGGCAGAGGCAAGCTCCCGCCTCAGAGATAGGCATGGTGGTTGGTTTGGAAGGAGCCTCCCTTTCCCAGGGGTAGCTCTAAGGACTCAAGGCCGGGCCCTGGGGAGTAGGGCAGGGGCTGGTTTGTTAGAAATAGGGTGTGAGGGGGAGGGAAGATTTGGGAGTAGTATTGGGTCCTCCGGTAAGAGGGACAGAGCTTGGTTTAGAGATTCTAGGTCCACGGGCCTTCTGCTCCTTGGAGCTCGGTTTCCTTGTCCATATAATGGGAAGGCAGAGGGGAGATATTGTCCTTCGGTTATGGAAACAGGAAGTGGCCTGGGGAGTTAGGAAGAAGCTGAGCCCCAAATCTAATCTCTAAGACCCCAGTGGCAGGAGTGGATGCTGGAGTGGGAAGCTGGTCTAGCTACCCTATCAAGTCTCTCTCCTGCGCCTCAGTTTCCCCCTAAAATCCAGTCAGATCCGGAGGGTGAGGATTTCGGGGTGGCCGCTGGCCTCCAGGGAGGCACAGCTCCACGTCTAGGTGCTCCGCTTCATGAGCAGAGAGTAGGTTAGATCCAAGCTCCCACTTGCCGCCTTCTGAGAGTGCCCTCAAGTTGTGCCCAACCTGCACAACCGTACTCAGCAGCCCTGAGGATTTCCCAGGAACTGAGTGCAGAAAGGGAGGGAGGAAGGTTAGTCTCTCCCACCCCCCACCCTGCCGGTTCTGGCTTGGGGTGTCTGCTGAACACCTCTAGAGGCAGAGACTGGCAGGATCTGCACTCCCAAGCTTGGTGCCCACCAGGTGAGCGGGCGGTGCCAGGGCCCTGCCTGCTGCTGATGGCGCCCTCTCCTGCAGAGAGCTGGCCCTCTTGTTTGAGCACGTGCAACGGGCCCGAAATGGGGGCCTACGGCCCCTGGAGGTGCGGCGGGCGCCGGTCCCTGATGGAGCGCCCTCCCGTTACCCGCCCGTTGCCACCTGCCACCGGCCGGGCAGCGCCTCCTTCTGCCCTGGGGAAAGGTAGGGGCCCCCCGGGGCCGCCACCTGCTCTCGCTTCTCCTCCTCCTCTTCCATTCTTTGTCTCACCCTCTCTCAGACCTGCCTGCAGCCACCATGTGGGTGTCTGAGCCTGTTCTGGGGACTCCCAGGCCTCGTCCCGAGGCCTGGGCAGTTGTCGTCGGATGGCCTGACAGGTACAGACTGAGAGCCTCCCTGGAGCGGCCAGGCTGGACTCACCTGCTTGTCCCCTGGGGCTCTAAGGGTCTGAGTGGGGGACACGTCCGCACCGCCCTTTCCCGGCACCTCCTCCATTCATTCCATTTGTCCTCTTTCTTTCTCTGTTTCCACGTCCCCTCACTCCTCCACCCCTGCACCCCCATCCCTCCCGGGCAGCTGGAGACAGGAGGAGGCCTCTGGCCACAGGTGCTTACGGCTCAGGTAATCGTGGGCACCATTCTGGGGCGTGAGGGCAGGGATCCCCCTCCCCCAGCATGTTCCTCTAGAAGGGGCTCGCCACTGGACTTGCCTGTCGGGAGTGAGGTGCTACCTGGAGAGAGCGCTCTGTGACTGAGGACCGCTGTAGGACCTCCGGAAACTCAGCCAGTGACTAATGCTCTTGTCTTGTGCAACCCTTGTCCGCAGCTTGGCTAATCCCAGAGGGTCCTCTTGGGATTCTCCCACAATGCCTTTCTTTCTTACTGAGGGACATTTTGCTGCTCCTAACAGTCTCTTTTTCCCTTCACCTGTCTCTCCTGGAGCTTTTGCGTCTTGAAAGAAGAACAAAGAAAGGACAATGCTTTACCCCCACATACATGTTCAAAGTAGTGGAATTTCAGGCATTTTTGGAGAAGGGACGCTCACTGACTCACAGTATGGGAAAGGGGCTGCTCCTGCAGAGGTATAGCTTTGAGGTCAAGGATTCAACCCCCCCCCCGCCCCCGCATTCCTCCCCTGCCCCCTCCCTATCTCTTTGTTTTGTCTCATCTTCACACATCATCCCTGATCGGCCAGGTAGACATCTGGGCCTTGAGCCTCAGGTGTGATTCTGAGCCCTGGGCCCAGAACAAGGGAGGGGAGAAGACACCAGCCACTCAGTGATCAGAAGGAGGCAGTGTGGTGAAAGCTGGCCCCTGACACCTGAGGCTGTGTGTCCTTGAGAAACTCATCGAGTCACACTGGGCCTCTGGGTCCTAGGCAGAACCTCAGCAGTGTTTAGGCCGATCAGGGGCTCTGGGTTCTCCAGGCTGAAAAGGCCTGGGGAACAGGGGGTGGGGGGCGCGTGGTGCAGAGGATGGTGGGAGCAGCATTTCTTTCTTCCCTGTGCTCAGTGAGGGCATCTCTGGCCAGGGGCTGAACAGGAAGCAGGGAGACGGAGGGTCCCTCCAAGTCAGGGGCTGGAGAGAGGGGCAGCATGACTGGCCAGGCCAGGCTGGGAACTCCCTGGAAGAGAGTCCACAGTGTGGCCCTGGGTCGGATTCTCTGTCCCTGCCTGAAGGCCCTTCAGTGTTACCCCCACCCCCATCCAGCCACAGCTTAAATTTGAGCAACCCTGCCCAGGGCCTGGGCCCGTGCTCTCTGGAGCTTCCAGTTTGCTCTGGTCTCACCTGGCCTGGATAGGAAGGTGCTGAAAACGAAGACGAACCTGGAGCCCAGCACCTCTCCCACCCACAACTGCTCCGGGGCTCTGAGTCCCCCAAGGCCTAGGACCAGATGACTGCCGAGGGCTTGGCATTCACTAACTCCCAGCCTTGTGTCCGTCTGCCCTGCAGTGTCTGTGTGGCCGGGGCTCATGGTGATGGTGGTGGAGTGTCCCTTCTTCCCAGGCCCCCCAGGAGGCTGAGCTGTGACTTCTAGGACATCAGTCACCAGGCTCAGGCCAAATGGCCATATCCTTACTCTTGGTTGTCTGGGCCCCATGGGGTGGGTGCTCCGGACAGGAACACCGCCCCCCCCAGGCCCCCACATACACATACACACTTCTCGTGGTTGGCCACACCCCTAGTGGCGCTTGTGGATGGACCCAGGCTGAGCACACTTCCAGGACTTCCAAAAGCAGGACTCCCTGGGGGACGGTCTTGCCAAGGTCAGCACCTCCTCTCTTTGGGGTTTTTCGATGGGGCGCTAAGACAATGTTTCTCAAGGCATGGTCCGCTGACTTCCTGCGTCAGCATCGGCGGGGTGTTCGCTAAAATCGCAGCTACTGGACCTCTCCCCAAGCCCACAGAATGAGAATCTCTAGGGGAGAGGCACAGAACTCTGCATATGTAACATGCTGCCCAGGAGATCCTGATGCAAATCTTGAGAATCTCTGCATTCTGGGGATGCGGGCTGGAGGATGCTTTGGGTGGGGGTTCTTTTCTCCCACCAGCCGCAGGAAGCCAGCCCCATCCTGGCAGCTCCCCATGCTCTGCCCACCTGCCCCCTTCCCACTAACCTCTGTTTGTGTCTTGTTCTCAACTTCCAGCCAGATGTTTAGTAATAAACGGAGTTTCTTTCGGATCCACGCCAGCTGGAGACCGAGGTACCCCCTCGCCTGCTCCTTCTGTCCTCACTCCTCCTTGCCCCACCCGGTTCGGGGGCTGGAGAGGGGGACAGAATAGGCCAAGGCCAAGGTGCATGTGCCTGCCGCCTGCCGTCTGCCTTGGGGCCCTGCCTGGAGCCTCTTACCTTCCTGGGGAGGCCTCTGCCAGGTCGGGGGCCATGGGCCTGGGGCCCACTCTGCCACGAGGGACATCTGTAGGAGACTTGGGATGAGTTCTGGCTCTGCCGCTGACCCCCTGTGTGATCTGGGTCACATTGCTTCCCTTCTCTGGAACTCAGTTTCCTATCTGTGGAATGGGCAGATTGAACTAGAGGCTCTCTGAGGGTCCTTCCCACTCTGACTTTTGCCAGGCTTTGGGTTTAGCTCCTTGGCTTCCCACTGTCCCTCTAGGGACTTAGCCTGTGCCTGGAGGAGCTGGGATTGGCACCTCTTTCGCTAACTCTAGAGCCCAGCTCAGATGGCCGCATCACCACCATGTGCCGGGCCCTGCACTAGACACAGGGATGAATGAAAGATGGCACCTGGAGGCTTGCAAAGAGCAAGGGCTGTTCAGTGTGATGGATGCAATGAAAGGAGGAAGCAGAGGGGCTACGGAGCCAGGGTCAGGCCCTTCACCTAGAGGACGCCCCAAAAAGGAGTGGACGTGGGGGAGGGCATCCCAGGCCAAGGAAGCAGCATGCATCACGTGGTGCATCATGGTGAGGAGGTGAGAGAGAGAGAGAGGAGAGAGAGAGAGAGAGAGAGAGAGAGAACAGCCGTGGGGAAGGAGCAGGCAGCCCAGCATGGCCAGATCGGAGAGTGCGGGGTCAGGGAGTGAGGTCGGGGGCAGAGCTGGATCATGAAGAACCCCAAAATCCTGTATGAGCGCCATCCTGTAGGCCCTGCCTGGCAGCCTGGGCTCCTTGAGTCTTGCGTTGCCCAAAAGTGCTTCTGGAGTCTTGTGGGTTGAAGGGCCCATAAGTACATGGGTGACAGAGCTCCTGGCTGCTCATCCAAGAGACAGTGCCTTTTAGGAACTAGTGTTCTGGATCCAAACCTGGCCACAACTCGCTAGCAAGGGGAACGTCACCTTAAGACCTGGGTGCCTCAGTTTCTTCAGATGTAACATGCGGATGGTAATTGCATCTGCTTCCATTCAAAACGTGCTTGGCTCATAGGAAGTGCTATATAAATGGTTGGCCTTGTTCAGTGTGGTATGTTGAGCAGTTAAGGTCTTATTTTTAAAAAATAGCTTAGAAACCATGGCTGATGGAAATGGGGACACACCTGAAAGGTTAAGCCAGGGAGTCTGGGTTAGACCTGCCCCTTTGCAAGATGACTTTGGCTGTGTGGGCACGATGGGCAGGAAGGGCAAGGCCGGGGCAGAGGGGCCAGCGATGAAGCTGCATCCACAGTCTTGAAGAGAGGGGCTGTATGCAGCATCAGAAGGGGTAGGCTGCCTCTTGCCCCCATGCGCTTGGCCTTTGGTAGCAGATGGAATCCTTAAAGTCATTCCTGGTGGAAGCGAGCACAGGGGTTGACCCAGCAGGGCAGTCAGAGGGCAGCCTGTGTCCAGAGCTTGCCCTCCGCCAAAGGATAGCCTCAGTCAAGCCTAGCCCATCTGTATCCCAGGCATCAACAGACCCCTTAGACCCGTTTCTCAACCTCGGCACCATGGAAGTCTGGTTCGGAGAATTTTTCATTGGTTGGGGGGGGGGGGGGGCTGTCACAAGCATTATTTAGCACTGTTTAGCAGCCTCCCTGGCCTCGATCAGATGCCAGGAACACCCTCCAATGTGACAACCAAAAATGTCCTAAACCAAAAATGTCTCCAGACATTGCTCATGGATTGGGGCCTAGTGAGCAAAATTGCCTCCAGTGGTTACCGCCCTAGATGCTCTCCTGATCGCTAGTTCCAGAGAAATAACAGTGTCTCAAGTCAGAAAAAACCGGGTTCTGATCCTTACTGCATCCACAGGGGCTCTGGGACTTTGGGCAGGTCACTTTCCCTCTTTCCCAGTCTGTAAACTAGGGATGGTAAATGTGGAGCCCACCCCACAAAGCGGCCGAGAGAGAGCTGGAAGGGCCAAGGCATTCAGACAGGACCGTGCGTGTGCTGAGGAGCCCGGGACGGGAAGGAGTTCTTCCGATGTCCAACGCTTGCCAGGTTTCTTTCCATTTTGTTTGAGCTTTTAGGCTCCAGAGAGGCTGACGTGAGCCATTTCCTGGGCCTTGCCCAAGGAGCTGGAATCCAGGGCCACCCCTGGGAAAACAGTGCCTTCTTACGTTGAAGAGGAGCCCAGGGCCTCTGGCTGGCTGGAAAGTTACAGAACTCCACAAACCAGGCTGGAAGCTCCTTCAACCATCGCAGAATCAGAGCTGGAAAGGGACCTTTCAAGGCCTCTAGTGCAAGCCTCCAGACCCCTTCCTCCCCAAGTCCTGCTGAGAGCAAACTCCGTCTTGCTTGTATACTTCTCATGACAGGGAGGTCACCCCCTTCCCCCAGAATGTCATTGGAGTGATGTGCTGGGCGCAGAGATCCGGAGTTCCAGGCCCTTGGCTATGTGTCAGGGCCTTCTCCAACCCCCCCTCTTGCTCTCCCTCTTGGAGGAGTGGAGGACAGAGGGAGGGGTTGCACGGGCCGGGCGGGTGGGGGGTGCTTGCCAGCATGAGGAGAGCCTGAAGGAATGGCTCTGCTGAGGAAAGTTTGGGAGACCCAACCTCAAACTTTGGTTGGAATCTCTGGGATGTGTTGAGGGGATCCTGGGCCAGCAAACAGCATGCTGGATTGTGGGGCTGCCTCATCCTTCCCTTCTGATATCCTCGGGGCCCCAATCCATGACCTGTAACTTCTCCCTTCTAGAAGGGCAGAGGTCCCTATTCCTAAGGATGGCCCTACATCCTGGCTGCCTTCCCGAAGGTGCCCCTGGTTTCGAGATCTTCCTCACTTCAGCACCTTGGCTCTGTACTCTGTACCCCATGCCCAGGGCATGGGGGACCCTAGCTCTCACCCAGCCCTGAAACCAGAATCTGTCCTCTGGTCAACTCTTGACCTGAAAGTCCCTGATAGTAGGTGACACAGTCTCCTCCCCCAATCCGTGCCCCACCTTAGGCCTCCTCCAAGACTGGCTGGTGCTTTCCTGAGCCAGGGCTCCGAACATTTGGGGTGGAAGGACCCCCAACCTGTCTGTGAGCCACAGCAGGGAGGCAGTGGTGACACCCCAGGGCATGGGATGGGGGACTTTTGCATACGTCCTACTCAGACAGTGAGAACGTGGTCCTTAAAACTCTTGGACACAGAGTTACTCTACCAGGTATTGGCTAACCAGGGCCTGCCCCGGGCAACCTGGGGCCTCCGCAAGGTTTGGGGTTGTAGTGGGGAGTTGGGGTGTGGGGAGGGAGGTCTGAGAACACGCACAGACACGCACATGTGTGTTCCCATGCACACAGACGTGTGTAGGTGTTGTTGAAATGGGGGTTCGTTAGGCAGTGGGGGTTGTGGAGCTGGGAGGGTGAACATCTGTCCAGGTAGGCAGAACTCAGGCAGGGGAGACCACAAAAACACAGGTTAAGACCTTCCCCGGGAGGGTGTGCACCAGACATGTCCGGGGCTTATATGTGGGCCCAGCAGCTCGACCCACAAGGCCAAGGCCCTCTGCAGCCGGCTCATTGCACCCGTGGGAGGCCCTGTTTATGCTGAAGCCTGTGTGATGCAGACCTCTGGAGTTTTGCAATGTTCTGCCTGCAAAGCTGGACTGGGTCCTAAAGCCCTGACCTGACTGACCAGTGTGGGATCAAAGAGCTCCAGCAGAAAAGGAGGAAAATATACACTGACACGTGTAGATACACTGGTACCTGGGTACCTACACTGTCACATGGTGTGCACACATGTGCGCGCGCACACACACACACACACACACACACACACACACACACCAACTCCACACAGCCTGCCTCTGTGTACAGTGAGGACCTGGAGGCCTTTCTCAGTGTGCATGGCCAGGTGAGCCCCTCCATCCCTCAGCGGCCTGTCTGTGCCCAAAGGGGTGGCCACCTCCACCTCCACCCACCCACTGAGCCAGGCCCAGCTCTCCCATCCTCCTGTCTGTCTCTGACTCCCTTCTTGGGTCTGTCTCACTCCTTCCGCTCTGACATCTGTCTCCTGTGCACCCCTTATATCTGTCTGCGAAAACGAGGGGTGGGAGATGGGGGTAGGGAGGGGACCTGCTCAGACTGACCCTGCATCAGCTTCCTGTAGGGGTCAGGGTCCCCCTTGCCACACCCTTGTTCCATCCCAGGAAGTCTCCACTTGGTGGAGAGTCAAAACCCAGTAGCCACTCCCAAGTCCCAAGTCAGCTGCGTCCCCACACACACCCATCCCCAGCTCTGGCTAACGTGGCTCTCTCTCCCATCCGACCTGCCCTGCCAGCAGCCGGATGGGCATCAAGGACCGCATCCGCATGGGCAGCTCTCAGCGACGGACAGGCCCCTCCAAGCAGCACCTGGCCCCTCCACCGATGCCCACCTCCCCAAGCAGCGAGCAGGTGGGCGAGGCTGCCAGCCCCACCAAGGTGCAGAAGAGCTGGAGCTTCAACGATCGCACCCGCTTCCGGGCCTCCCTGAGACTCAAACCCCGCACCTCTGCTGAGGGTGAGCCCCTGGGGGCCTGGGGCCCAGGACCTACCTGCTGTCGGGGGCGGGGTAGGGACAGAGTCTGGGCTAGGGGTGGAAAGATGGTTCTAGTTCCAGCTCTATAACGGACCGACCATCTTTGGGCACTGGTCTCCTGGTCTGTGAATTGGGCGTCATAACACCTGCTTTGCTGGGCTCAAGACTGTTGAAGAATCGAATGAGAATGCAGAAGGTGGCGCTCGGTAGGGGGTAAGAGTGCAGGCTTTAGAGCCAGGCTGCTGGGGTTTGAATCCTGGCTTTGCCACTTCTTGGAAGTTACAGAATCCCACAAACCAGTCTTTGGGAGGTGCTGACCTATGAGAGTCTGGGCACGGCTGGTGCCCAGGGCCCCCGCTTCCCTGCCCAAGAAGCTGCCTGGCCTTCCACCCTCTCCTGCCCCCATGGAGCAAGGATAGCATCTGCTCTCTGTGCAGTGCACCAGCCTGGGAGAAGCGTTTCTCTTCCCCGGAGACAGGACTTGCTTTCAGGGCCTTCCCTAGCAGCAGAGCTGGGCATGGGAGCCAGCCCCTCGAGCTTCTTTCCCTCTTGGCTGAAGGATAAGGCTGTGTGTGTGATTATGTGCAGAGGCCTCAGGTCCCTTGTCTCTGAGGCTCACTGTCCTGGTGGGACCAGTGGGGCTTCCTAATTTGCATCAGGCCAAACCAGATGTGCCCTAAAACAACTCCCACTTACCTGGCCACTGCGCAGATTCTTACCCTGACTGGTCAGAGGGCAGATGTGTGTGCAGGAAGCCAGAATTTTCCAACCTGGGTAAGGCAGCCAGGGAGGCAGGAGCCTGGTCTGCCTTGTGCCCCCAGGAAGGTTCTGGACCCTTTCTGGGCCTCTGTCTCCTGATCGGTATCTCTAAGGGTGGTTCGGCAGGTGGTGGTAGGGGTTGGGCAGGCACCCCTTCTGCTGCCACCACCTGGGCCCCTAACTTTCCAGAGGGCCCCTCGGAGGAAGTGGCAGAAGAGAAGAGCTACCAGTGTGAGCTCACTGTGGATGACGTCATGCCTGCTGTGAAGACGGTCATTCGCTCCGTCAGGTGAGTCTGAGGCCTGAGGTGCTCCCCCCGCCCCGAATCCGTCTGCCACCCATCGCTGCTCCCCATCTGGGGCCTGCCCTCATGGCCAGGCCTGGCCTAGCTCCCGGGCACAGCAGCTGTTGCCTGCCTGGCACCCTTGGCTGAGCAGGCTGGCGGGGACCCTGGAGTGTGGGTGGGGTGGGAGGTGGCATATGGCTCCCAGCAGGGTTTGCTCATCCTCTTCACGGCTGGAGGGCTGGCTGGCTAGGGCGGTAGGCTCGGCTGCCCACCACAGTCCCTCTGCTCCACCCGCAGGGTCCTCTCTGCGTCTCTCCCCTCCTCCCCGCCAGCTGTGCACCAGCCACTGCCTCTCCCTGTGTCTGGCCCGTGTGCTCTTTCTCTCCAACTCTGTGTCTCAGTTTCATCCTCCTTTTGCTTCTGTGTCTCAAAGTTTCCCTCCTTCCTTGGGTGGCTTGACCTCAGCTTGTCTGTCTCCCTCAGGGCTTCCTCTAGAGCGGTGCTTTTCAAACCACAGGTCACAACAGTTTGAAATCAACTTAGTGAAATCAGTTTAGTGGGCCATGGTCAGCATTTAACAGCAACAACAAAAAGGAATAGAATAGAAAATAGCAGAGTGCATTCCCCCATAGGAAGGGCAAATAATGTTGATGAAACCTACGTTTCAGTTTGTGTGTGTGTGTGTGTGTGTGTGTGTGTGTGTGTGTGTGTGTGTACTGGCTTCTGATATAAAACATATTTCTGTTTTTTTTTAAGGTTTATTTATTTGAGAGCCTCCTCCCCGGAGACTGTGCACAAGCCAGTGGCTCTGCTGAGGGAGAAGAGAGAGAGAATCCCAAGCAGACTCCCCGCTGAGTGTGGAGTCCAAAGACTGCGGGCCTGGATCTCACCACCCTGAGATCATGACCTGAGCCAAAATCAAGTCAGGCTCTTAACTGCCTGAGCCACCCAGGCGCCCCGTAAAATGTATTTCTTATGGTGGGTCTTGGTCAAACAAGTTTGCAAGTCCCTGTCAGGCTGCCTGTACTGGCTGTCTCCCTGCCTTGACAAGAGTGGGCCAGAGTCTCCTGAGCCCCTTAGCCATGGCTCTGGCACCCATGCTTCTTGGCGTGGAGTCCTGGCCTAGACTCCGTCTCCAGCCTGCAGCTCTATAGCTCCAGAGACTCCCTTTACCCCCAGGCCTTACAGGCTCACCTTCTCTCCTCTCTGCCTGATGCATCTACCCACAAGCCTCTTTGTCTTGTGTTCCTTGTAAAATCAGAGTCAGCTGGGCCCCTTGCCACTCCCCAGAGAGTCTGAGGCCTCTCCCCACCCCCTTTTTACACACGCTGTCTCTCTCCTCCAAGTGACCAGCTTCTGGAACACATCGCCCGAGCTGCCACCTGGCCCAGGTCACGTCTCCTTGGCCACGCCACAGATCCCTCACACCCAGCATGCCCCAGACCTGCTCTTCCTCCCTGTTCCCATTTCAGGCAGTGGCACCACCATCCACCCCGTTGCCTAAGCCATGGGAATTATTCTGGACTCAGACTCAGAACCCTTGAAGTCCCTTTTAGTCCTGAATTGCTCCCAGCTTAGGCCCAGCCCCTGGGTCTGGTCGTCCTGCCCAAAACTCTGCCTCTCCGGAGCATTCTCTCCACACAGGCGGGCAGAACGATCATGCTAACGCAGAGGAAACCCTTCCCCACCACCCCAGCCGCCCATTGCCCAATCTCTGCCTGGGATTCGGGACTCTTCAGAGTACCTCCTTCCCCTGCCTGCCAGCCTGCTTTTCAAGGCCAATCTCTTTCCCTGTCTTCTTATATGCCACCCCACCTCCCCAGGTGGATCAACCCCTTAGCTTTACATTCTGTCCCGGCTACTTTGAACACAATCTCACTCACATGCCTCCATGTCTGTCTGTGTCCAGAAAGCCTCTTTTCATCCCCCTTTTGCCCTTGGAAAGTATCACTCTCAAGACTTGTCCTCTGCCCTCCCCAGCTGAGACCCTCCTTCTCATCATCCCAGACCACTGTCTCCATTCCTTGACGTGGCCCTCATCACCCCATAATTGTGTGTCCTGTTTCCCACTCCAGAACAGGGCTCCTGAGACCAGGGTTTGGGTCTGATGCCTCTTTGGGTGCCCAGGGTCTAGCACAGTGATGCTAACAAGCATTTGTGGAGTGAATGCAAAAATGTCTTCCCCCAAGCCGTCTTGATCACCAGTGTTCATAGATGTCTGCCCTGTGTCCCAGCTAGCAGGAAGAAACCAGACCCGGTCCCTGCGCTCCCAGGCTAATGCTACTGTAGATTTAGGCACATTAAAAAAAAAAAAATACCAAAGAGACATCCGGGGGCTGGGGGTGGACCGTGGTGGGGAGGGAGGGAGGCTGGGAGACCCAGCAGAGGCTGTTTGCAGTCACCCAAGCAGAAGGTGCCCTCGTGCTAGGCAAAAGGTTAGCAAAGGGATGGAGAAGGGGCTGGAAAAGAATCCCTTCCCGCCGAGACCCCCTTTCCCGGCAGGATCCTGAAATTCCTGGTGGCCAAAAGGAAATTCAAGGAGACACTGCGACCATACGACGTGAAGGACGTCATCGAGCAGTACTCGGCGGGGCACCTGGACATGCTGGGCCGGATCAAGAGCCTGCAGTCTCGGTGGGTGCGCCGGCAGTGAGGCCGAGGCCCCAGCCCCAAAGCGAGGACTGAGGGCCCCGAACTCCCCTACCTCCCTCCCGCCCGCGCCCGAACGGAGCCGCGAGCGCCCCCTAGGGGCCGCGGCGGGAGCTGGAGTTTCCGGTCTGGGCAAGGCTTCTGGCTTGCAGCGCGCCACTGAGGCCTGACCGGGCACCTGTCTTGAGCCTGAAGAAGGACCCAGCCGCACGTCCTCTGTGCGAACCCTACTAACCTGCACTCCTCGAGCGACGTCTTTAGATGATTGTTTCCTGGTCCTAAAATAATAGGATTAAAATAATTAATGATCTCCCATCTCCCAAGGGGATAGGCAAATTGTCCTCAATGCTGCCCACCTCTTGCCTCTGGAACCCTCCCGCACCTCTTCTCTCCACCCAGCATATAGGAATTCTTGCACCAAGACCCTAATCACCTACACCTCGCCCTTCTTCTCTTGTGGCCTGCATTCTCACTGCCCATTCATTCTCTTGTTCTCTTAAGAAATAGTCATTGGGCTTTTATTACTTGCCAGACAGCTGGGCTCTGGACTCTGGAAGGCAAGAGTCCCTGCCCTCATGGAGCTTTTATTCTAGTGGAAGAGAACAGATGATAAATAAGATGGAAGCTAGACGATGTCAGATGATGATCAAGTCTAAAGAGAAACGTAAGGGCTAGGGTGTTGGGGTTTGTGATTTTAAATAGTTAAGAAGGTGACATTTGAGAAAAACAAGAAGAAAGGTGGGGCAACCAGCCCTGTGGCTATTTAAGTAAAGAGTTTTCAGAGGGAATGGCAAGAGCAAAGGCTTGGGCAGGTGTCTGGGGTGTTGTTTTAGAAACAGCAAGGAGCCCAGCGTGTCTGTTCTGGCCTGATGAATGGCACTTGGACTGTATAAAGCCCCGTGGGCCACTGCACACACGCTGGCGTTCATCCAGGGGGAGATGCAAGCCTTGAAGAGCTTAGAGCAAAGGATGGACAAGATCTGAGGTGTATTTTTAAAGGAGCACCCTAGGTGCTGTGCTGAGGATGACCTATAAGGGAGCGAGGGTGGAAGTCAGGAGGCTGCCTCAGATGTGCAGGCAAGAAATGATGGGGACTTGGACCAAGGTGGCAGCAGTGGGGGTGGGGAGAAGTACGCAGACTCCAGATAGATTTTAAAGGTAGAGCTGACAGGGTTTTCTGATGGGGTATAAGAGAAAAAAAGAGAGTCAAGGCTGAAGCCAAGGGTTGTGGCTTGAGCAACAGGAAAAAGTTGCCATTTGTTGACACCCAGAAGGCAAGTGCGGCAGGTTTGGCTCAGGTGAGTTGGGAGGTGTTGGTTTATGGAACCCATTGGACATCTATAGGGAGTGTTGCTCTGGCAGTTAAGACTGAGCAGTGTGGACTTCGGAGGAGATCTGTGGGCTGGAGATACAGATTTGTGTCAACAGTGTGCAGAGGAATTGCAAATCTGGAGCTGAAGACCGCACCTAGTGAGAGTGCATAGAGAAAAGAGGTCCCAGGAGTGAGCCTTGGGTCCTGCAGTGTTTCATGGAGGTAGAGGAGGAACCAGCAAAGGAGAGTGAGAAGGAGAGGTCAGTGAGGTAGGAGGAGAACCGGGGGAAGGTAGTGTTTGCGACCCCCGCATGAAGGAAGCGCCGGGAGAAGGGTGATCAGATGTGCCGAGTGCTGGAGTGCTGCTAAAAGGTCAAGTATAACGAGGCCTGAGGGTTGATCATCGAATTTAGCAACATGGAGGTCATTTGGGATCTTGACAACAGTTCTGGTGAGATGGTGGGAATGAAAGCCTGCTTGGAGTAGGTTTAAGAGAGAAACGGAGGAAATTGGAGACAGTGGGCAGAGATAAACGCTTTCAAGAATCACGCTGTAAGGGAGATCAGAAAAATAAGGTGGGACTAGCTCCAGCCTTGTCCACCTTATAACTCACATTCCCACTTGGGTCTCTTTTCCCAGTCCACCATTTCCCACCTGTCCTCCCACCAGACAGTTGCTTTACTTGTCATGCTTGTGTGTGGTCGCTCTGCTCGGCTAGTTGGAAAACCCGCAAAGCAGAGGCCCAGCCCCTCCATCCATCTCGGTCTCCATTTGTCAGGGCAAAATGGTCCCCTCCCACCAGTGCAGGCTGTGTCTCCCCTTTCAGCAGGCAAACCTAGTGTTCTTGAGGGAGGGACGGGTGGCGTGTGTCTGTGCCCTTTGATAGTTACTTTCTTCCACAGGGTGGACCAGATTGTGGGCCGGGGGCCGGGGGACCGCAAGGCCCGAGAGAAGGGAGACAAGGGACCCTCTGACACGGAGGCAGTGGATGAGATCAGTATGATGGGACGCGTAGTCAAGGTGGAGAAGCAGGTGAGTATCGGATGGAGTTTCGCTCGTATGGCGGAAGCTGGTCGTCGACCAAGAAGCTCCGGAAGGCCGCGGGGCACAGGGAGGGTGCACTTCTCAGAACCACAGCCCAGAACACCGGCCAGGGAGGCCTGATCAGGGCCCACGCGTCCGGGGCCCCACTGGTCCCCGCCCACTCCTGCTCGACGACCCCGATAAACCCACCCGCTCCTGCCAAGCCCCACCTCCAGGTGGCTGTGGTCTCAGATAAACCCGTTCTAAATTTCATCTACTTCCGTGTAAGCCCGCCTCAGGAGTCTGTCTCTAGCTCCCGGACTATTCTAACCAATCACAACTAAATTTCCCTCCGAGAATGAACCCCAGCTTCCCACCTTCGTCCCGCCCTCCGGCCAAGCTCCGCCCTTCCGGTCGCACCTCCTGCGGGAGGAGCCGCGTCTCCCAGAAGCGCCCCTTCCCGGCCAAACCCCGCCTCCTGGCCGCGCTCCTCAAGCCCCGCCCAAGCTCCCAAGCCCCGCCTCCAGCTGCGCCCCGCCCCCAGGTGCAGTCCATCGAGCACAAGCTGGACCTGCTGTTGGGCTTCTACTCGCGCTGCCTGCGCTCTGGCACCTCGGCCAGCCTGGGCACCGTGCAAGTGCCGCTCTTCGACCCCGACATCACCTCCGACTACCACAGTCCTGTGGACCACGAGGACATCTCCGTCTCCGCACAGACGCTCAGCATCTCCCGCTCTGTCAGCACCAACATGGACTGAGGGGCTTCTCAGGGGCGGGGCAGCACACGGCCAGCCCCTGGGCCTGGCGCTCGGACCCGCCCTCTGAGGCCTCCGGACTCCTCTCTTACTTGAACTTGCTCCCTTGCGGGGAGAGAGGCCACATGCAGTATTGAGCTGTCTGGATGGGCGAGATACCCGCCGTGGGGGTGCCAGCGACCCGCCCCATCTCAGGAGCGTGAGATGCCAGGCCGCACGGAAGGCAGCAGCAGCAGGGGCTGCCCCGTGGCCTCTGAGCCCCCCAGTGCCCTGCCCGTTCCATCAAGGCCCTGCATGGCCCGCCTGGCAGGGGCACTGTCCCAGGAGTGGGGCGCTGGGGTCCTGGGCCCTGACCCAGCTTCCAGCTATGCAAGGTGAGGTCTCTGGCCCGCCCTTCGGACAGAGCAGGGAAACCCTCCCGCCAAGTCCCCGCCCCACTTGGGGGTGGGCCCAAGGTGCCCATAGGTACCCACAAGCATAGGACCCTGCCACAAGGCAGTTGGGCACCATATATGCAAACTATGTTAAATATGCAACTCTGGGGACCCCCATGGGGTCCCTCTGCCCCTCCCTCCTTGGAGATGGGCCCCCAGCAATAGCTGGTCTCAGGCTGCTTGGCCATGACCCCTATCCCTGTTCTTTGGCTTATCACCTGCTCCTCACCCAGCATGGGGCCTGTTTCTCCCTTGCCTCCCCAAGGGCAGTGCTTGGGCTTTTCTTCCCATTCGCAGGTGTCCCCTCCCAGGGGCTCCTTCTTCCTGCTGGATGTCCACTCCCCTCCTTGGCCCTCCAGACACCTTATAGCACAAGTTTCTGTATTTGCCTCCAAATCTCCCATGGACAGTGCTCCCATGGTCACCCAAAGTTTCCCCGAACATGCAGAAAGTCTCTCACACTCCCTGACACACACGATCACACACACCTGGAGATGTGTGCACACAGCCGTTCAGCCTTCCTGGGGCCTCTGCAGCTGATGCCGGTAGCCTGGCCTTGCAGGGTAACGTCCACTAAGAGGAAGCCTGCCACTCCATCCAAGTAGGAGAGGGAGCTCTGAAGTGACCCCAGGCCTCTCTAGGCCTCACCTCTGAGTTTTACCAGCTCCCTTTTCTCAAGAACATCTACTTCTCACTGGTCCAAGAGCCCTAACTGCTGCTTCTGCTGCCCCCAAGGACCCTCCTTGGCGTCCCTACAGCACAGCTCAGGCCTAGACCACTGGGGGCTGGACAGCACTGGAAAGACCCCAGGCCCTTCTCCAGGGTGGTTATCAGGCCTGCTTCCACTAGACTTGCCCCCTTCCTAGTCACTCTCCCTCCCTGAGAGAATATTAATGCATCTAGCCACTCCTACTTGGCAGGCACCAGCTGTGCATCTGACACTCACAAGCTCTGTTTCCCCGCCTTCTGCACCTCACTCTTCACTTCAGTTGGCAGCCCCCCATACTGGCAGACGTCCCCCCCTCCACTCCAGGCCCCCAGCACCTCTTTGGTATCCTGACCCTTCTGACCCTCTTTTGCGAAGCCAATGCAGGGAGCAGGAGCGTGATGGGTAGTGGACCGATGGTGATCCTCTGTGGGGTGCCAGGGAACCAGGGGCTCAGGCCCAGCTGCCTGCATCTCATGACTGGGGACCTGCATGCACCAGCGCCAGGGCTGGGGCTGGATCCTGCTCAGCCCCATGGTGCCCAGCCTCTGCCCCAACATACCCTCTGCATGTGACCATCATGCCCTGGATGGAGCCTGTCCTGGCTCACCTCACCTGCACTGCACTGTCCCCCAGAGAGCCACCCTCTAACCCCTCAGAGACAGAGCTGTGGAGAGGGGCAGGAGAATGGGATTACCCTATGACCAAAGGAGATTTGGGATGAAGCCCTCCCTCCTTCTACGATCAAGGTCCCCCCACCAACCCAGTTCTTGGATATGCAAGTACCTCACTTTGTTAACTTATTAACTTATTGGTTTCATTAAAGTTTTCAGTAGGAGGCGGTTGCTTTTGGCTGTTCAGTGGCGGTGGGGTGGGGTACCTGATCTGGGGGTTGGGATGAAGAAATTTGGATTAGTCAGCATTCTTTTGGTTGTAAACAACAAAAACCTAACGCATTATAGCTTAAGGAAAAAAAAGAAAAGAAAGAAAGAAAGAAAGAGAAGAAAGAAAGAAAGAAAGAAAGAAAGGAAGAAAGAAAGGAAGAAAGAAAGAAGAGAGAAAGAAAGAAAGAAAGAAAGAAAGAAAGAAAGAAAGAAAGAAAGGAAGAAAGAAAGAAGAGAAAGAAAGAAAGAAAAGAGAAAGAAAGAAAGAAAGAAAGAAAGAAAAGAAAGAAAGAAAATGGAACCTATTAGCCCGGATAACTAAACTGTCAGGTGGATAGAATGGTTTTCGGCACAGCTAGAGCTAGGTGCATAACACGTCAGGGATCTGCCTTCTGTCTCCGCCTCCCCCTCAGGCGGGCTGACCTCTCACGATGACCCCTGGCACTTACACATTTACTTGCTCTTGGCTTAGGGCCCCAGTGAAAAGTGAGTACCAGTTTCCTAATAGGTTGTGTCGGTCAGGGTCCACTTAGGAAAACAGAAACTAGGCTAGGTTTTCAACAAAGAGAATTTACGAAAGGGGCTGGATTACACTGCTGTAGGGGGGCTCAAAGAGCACAAAGAACTCTGAGATAGCTGAGAGGGGTCCTTGCAGGCAACCGCTGTCTCTCTGAAGGCTGCAGGAGTATAGGGGCGAGGTTGGGGTTAGCAGAGCCCACAGGCTTGATTGCGGGAGTGCCGTAGTGCTAGGGCTCAAGAATCTGAAAAGGGGGTCTGGCTGGCTGGCGCTGGTACCTCTTAGGGGATACGGTGAAGCTCGTCTGGGAGTGCAGGAAGAAAGCTGAAGCCTGGTATCAACTGTTGGCATTAGGCTGCGCCGATAAACTTACAAGCAAAGGAAGAACGAAGTCTCCACTCCTCCTGCCTTCCAACCTTTCCCCAATGCCCCTATTGTCAAGGCCAGCCAACAAAGGTAATGTGGTTTGCAGAATCCCAGCCTCAGGATCCTAGAGCAGAGTACAGAAGGCTGGGTTTGGGACTAAAAGACAGTAGCTTCATAACTGGTACAGTCCACCCCTTTGGGCACTCAGTATCCATATACATCATTCCACACACAGTTGAACCTCCATATAATAACAGTAGCCTCCACCTAATCAGATGAAGCTACCCTGCATATAAATGAAGACACGAACCCTCTCCCCCCAAATAGAGTCCCACTGTCCAATAGATGTATCTATCTCCAGGAATTCATCATTGAATCCATGTTTGGATGATGTTAATTACTCCTCTAAATCAGTCAGAAGCCCACCTACAACTAAACAGTAAACTGTAAAGTTAGCAATCACTTACAATCTTTTTATAAAATAATAGGGGAGAAGGAGGAGGGAGGAGGAAACTAAATGCTTAGTACACAATACACACACACACACACACACACACACACACACACACACACACACACA